ATGACATAAATCAGGATAGATTTTCGTATTCAGTTAGTTCGGTCACTTCATGGTTCACCGAAAATGACTACAGTATTTGATATTTAATGGGGATATTTAAATGGGTTTTTTCCTTCGGTATTTTTTTATAACTTTTGAACATTTGCGCTTAAAAAACGGTATTTTAAATCTCAATCTAGAGTGTCATGGCTTTGTTAAAACCGCTAATTTTTAATCAAGGGGCTATGGAAAAACAGATTTGATCCTCTAATGTTTTTTGGTTAGGGTTGGGGGTTTTTTGGTTATTGTTTAAGGCCTAAAACAAAATACGAGGCATGTTTTTTAAGTAAGTACCGTTTTGGAATTAAAAAAAAACGTGCAAAGATATCGCAATAATTTTATTTTTACATGAAAGCCTGTACCTTAATCTACTTTTCTACATAATTTCCGTGAATATTGAGGCACTTTTCATAACGTGGCACCAGTTTTTCAATACCCTCCTCATAAAATTCTGCCGCCTGACTGGTTAACCACTGTATCACAACTGTTTTGACTTCGTTATCGTCTTGAAGACGCTGACCGCCCAGGTGTTTCTTCAAGTGCAGGAATAAATGGTAGTCACTGGGCGCCAGATCAGGGCTGTATGGAGGATGATCAGAGTTTCCCATTTAAAAGATTTGATGAGATCTTTGGTCCGATTAGCCACATGTGGACGGGCATTATCATGCAGCAAAACAATACCCTTACTCAACTTGCCACGTCTTTTGTTTTGGATTGCACGGCGCAGATTGTTCAATGTCTCACAATAAGATGCTGCCTTGATTGTCTCATTACGAGGCAGAAACTCCACTAGCAATACTCCTTTTCTGTCCCAAAAAACTGCACATGATTCTCCGGGCAGAAATTGTTTGCTTAAACTTCACTGTTTTGGGTGATGATGAATGTCGCCATTCCATGGACTGTTGTTTCGATTCTGGTGTTTCGTAGGCCACCCATGTTTCGTCACCAGTAACAATTTTGTCTAAAAAATCTTCACCTTCATTGTGGTACTGCTCAAGGAAAGTCAATGCACTGCCTAAACGTTGGGTTTTGTGCAAATCCATCAACATTTTCGGAACCCAACGTGAACACAATTTCCGGTAATTCAAGTTCTCGGTCACAATGCGATACAAAACACTACGAGAACATTGAGGAAAGTAGTCGCACAATGATGAAATTGTAAAGCGTCTGTTTTCTTTCACCTCTTTGTCCACTTTCTGCACCGAATCTTCATTAACGACCGAAGGACGCCCACTCCGTTCTTCATCATGCACATTTGTGCGGCCATCTTTAAATGCTCTCACCCTTTTCCTTACCATTCCATCACTCATAATGGTTTGTCCGTAAACTTCACAGATCTCACGATGAATATCGATCGGTTTTACGCCTTTAGCACTAAGAAATCGTATGACAGCCCGTACTTCACAATCGGCGGGGCTCACGATTGTCGGAGGCATCTTATACACTCAATAAACAACGTATACAATGAAGAATCAGACTGTACTGGCGTCTGTGCATAGACAAGAGATGTAGGTAACCAGCGCGCATGCGCGGAACGCCGACCGTAGCGCTGCGGCGGCGGAATCGCAAAACGGTACTTACTTAAAAAACATGCCTCGTATATAAAAGTGGGCAACGCTGCACCGGTCAAGCTTAATCACGTGACTAAAAGTTTATTTGGTATGAACTGTATGTTACTTCATCTTATTCAGAATGTCATTTTCTACCAAATAAAGTTGTATTCATTTTCCGTGAAACAGGAATAGACCGAAAATAATTGAATACGTCATTCAATCCCAGTTTATGTTGTACCTACATATCGAATTTTATTTTTTTGTCTGAAAAAAACCAAACCAAACCAAACCAAATTTATGTTTTAAATTCTGGAAACTACTCTATTTTTGAATATTTTATAACATGAGTAAATGAAGGTCACGTTTAAAGGCAAGCTTAGCTTATATTTTATGTTTTACTTTCACGTACTTGGTCCTAGTTAAATAGTAAGATTCAACTTTAGATTAGCTCTAGTTTTTACTATTTTGTCATAGTTTCTAGGTTATGAGTCTCGTAATTATTTAAAACATGTAGGTGCTTTAAAATTATATATTACGTTTCTTTACTTTATAGAATATTTGAAGGGTCGGGGGAAAAAAGCAAGTAAGTCAATTTCTCCCCAAACTGAGAAAAGACTTAATGTTCAAAACGTTACAAAAATAGTACCACTTCATTGCTTTTTTCCTTTTCAGTATAACTTTTCTTGCTTTTTTTTCAGTTTAGCGGTTTCTAAAGGTTCTTACACTCTAAAAAAAATAGCAAAAAATTGTCTTACCCTTGCTTTTTCCCTTGGCTCTTCATTTATTCTATTTATCATTTCAATATGACACACCAATGAGCCTAGCTTGCAATTCTAAATAATTTTGCCGAGGAAATATGATAGTAAACTAAAATAGAAATGGGCAACGGCGTAGCTACGTCAAAACACCGGTTCCCGATATATCACTGATGTTAAGCGACATCAGATGTTACGAATGAATCAACGGGTGACTGTCTGGAAACTCTATTGTGCTATTGTTCGATGACAAGAATGTCAAATCTATTGACACACCTTGCTCCTTCAGATCGCGCTTGTAAGAGTCGATTTAGACACTCGCCAAATTAGCGGCAGTGTTGCCACAGTTACCCCATTCGGGATAGATCCACCCCTTTGTAGGACAATTTAACCCCGCTATCTCATGATAATCTACCCCGATGAAAAATAAGCTTGTGGCAACACTGGATAACGATCTGTGCCATACGCGGCTAGGAAAGTACTATAATAAACTTGATACAGTGTTGTAAAGATCTGAAATGTATTCATATCAGATTCAGTGTTGTAAAATCCATTCAATGTGTATGTCTCTTTACAAAAATTGTGACGACTATATCGATATATTTATGTTATGTGTGTGGATACCAATGTTAGATATTGGATTATTTTCTTCGCTAAGATTTCAGAATGAAAATGATAAAATTGTAAAAAGAAATCAATAAAAAACGGCCGAAATCTACGTTCAAGTAACAAATTTTGATAAAGACCCTACCAGGTCGGAACGTCAATAAAATTTTTAATATAAAAAAACCGTTTTTCTCATTTTTACCTGACCTAAAGCCAAGAAAAAATTAAATAAAATATATATTGAGAGGTCAAAGAAAAGAATAAAAAAAAACATAAACTTGATATTGTACCTACCTTGATGTTAGGAAGTAAATTTTCATGCATATTTTTATCGATTGGTTTGTAGCTTCTGAACAGGCCCTAGACACTCAATAGTAATTTTATGGAACTACAAATTTAGTTTCTTCCGCATCGCCAGGTGGCGCAAAAGACATTAAAGTACAGGTTTCTAATTTATATATGAAGGTGACATGACAGCCTCTATATTTACTACCATCTATGGTCTAGTTTTAGCCTAGTTGTCAAAATGTTGGTGATCCGTCAAGTTATTTTTAAATAATTATTAATTCAGATATTCCTGATTTGCCGGAAAGTTCGGTGATTTGTGTTTATAGTTTATGTTTTTATTCATTTGTGCATTTTGATATTTACAGTCGATCATTATTTTCGTGCTGGATACTAAACATTTTTATTAAAGACATTTTAGACATCTTAGAAATGATACATTTGTGAACAAACTAAAAAAAATGTTTAATCATAAATAAGTAAGTACATAGTTGGTAATATAGTATTTTTAGTAATAGTTAAGTACTAGTCTATACTATAATATAATTTATTTGTTAAATCAAAAAAATAGGCGGTATGTGCTCTATTGTTGGTGTTTAAAATGTATGTTTTCATAATTTTATTTTTAGTTTTGAATGTGTTACACTTTTAATGATCAAATAAAACATAAAATATAGTAAACAAGTCTATATTTATTATTTTATATTTTACAAGGAATAATTTTGCGCTTGAATAACGTTACCGTTTTAGTTAGCGTTAATAAACAACGGAACGCTAAAATTATGTTATGCTAAAACTCTCCATTAGTTTCTTCCGGATCACCAGGTGGCTCTAAATGATGGACTTATTTGTTTTATATCAGTGTCCAATCTATCTCTAGTACGTGACATTAGTCTATGCTTCTGAATAACGGTCTAGGTAAATCATTTAGCTCATTTGACAGCTCAGAATTAGAATTTAGAGTTAGTAACTCGCATTTTCATTGGAGGACACTCATATTAATTTCAATAATCAACGAGAATATTCGTATAATTTAATAAAATTACTATGAATAATGAATTGTTTGTAATTAAGCTGTAATTTCTGTATTATTAATCCGGTAAATGATGGAGATAAGCAATTGTGATTGATTAAAATTTTATTTTAAAATGAAACTATTGCTAACAACATTCTGAGAATTCGAATAATGAATTCATAATGATTTGAATAATGACAAGACAACTGACATCTCTCTAAAAAAAGACAGCGATTTAGAGTGCAATTTGATTATGTAAAATTTAGAGTGACAATATTGATTAGAAATAGTGGTTGCCTAACGATAACCAATAATTTCAAAATAAATCTCCAACATGACTAATGAACAAAACATTTAAACACCACAGACTACACAAAACAAATTGTTGGTTAGTAGCAGTTAGCAGTATTCAGAGATATAGATGTAGTAGTATTGTGGTTTAATGGCCCCAGCTATCCGGCCGGGTTATAGAATTATCGTTTTTTAATAAAAATTAAGAAACCTTATTGAATTATAAAGCTAGAATAGTATACGGTTTTATATTAACTCTAATTTTTATCAAGTTTATAAAAAGTATCCATAAAAAAATATATATCCTTCAAATCATTCAATTTAATAGCTGTCAGTAAGAAGTTTTACTTCAAATATGCGCACATGGTGCACACACAATTTTTTAATTTATTTTTGATTTTTTCATAATTTATTAAGGTATGATGCGCGTTATTTTATGGATTTTTTTTGTTTCAGGCATTATATGTCCGGCGCTGACGTAACGTTCCAAGTATACTGCCCAAAAAAGGACGAGAAGAAGGTGAAAAATGTGTTAAATAAGTGGATAGATCGCGGCCACGTAGGCAACGTTACTGTGTCGGAGAAGGACAACTCGATAAAAACGGCCCTCTCGATTCAGGTGAGTTATAGGAGAAAAGGAAGATAAGGGAAAGGTATAAAACAATCTCTTCCAGACGGTGTGTAAACCTTGTGTAAAATATACCAGTTTTTTTATTAAAAAAGGCTTCAGAGTAAGGTATTATAAAATAAAATTTAACTATTTTTATTATAGGTATTTGAAATATATAAGAGGGTGCTATTAATGCACAAACTAATAATCACAGAATTTAATAAAAACTAACTAAAGTGGTATAATGTGCTTATCAATCAAATTTACTTCTCTGACTGCAGTCAAGAGTAATCAAGGACCTTTATTGTCACGTTCTCGTTCAAATTGTTTATCAGAGAAGCTACAAGCTTTTTGCTTCGACTGTTTAAATGCTTCGGCATATTTCCAACACACAATTTCAAGAAATGCAATGCAAAAATTCGAAAATTTAGTTCTTAAGAGAACTGTTTGTGCTTAAAAGTGCACTGACTCAAGTATATTGATAGTCTTCTAATTATTACTTGCTTTGACAGTTTTTTTTTCGACAAAAACATTTAAACCGAGATACCCATCACCCTATCCAGAATGTAAGTTTTACTTTAAGCTGTCATTATACCGAAACAAAAAGCCTTTAACTTAGAACAAACACACTTAAAAACCAACCCTACGCAACTATTTATTACTCTACTGTCTAATAATACACGTCAAAATGGTATACGCACGGTTTCTAGTTGAGAACTAACCTCCATGTCCCTTTGTGAAACCTTTAATGAACACTTTCAGTCGTGCCGGAGAACGATCTTTAATATTAACATGCCGCTGCCGTTATTTTTGAACAAAAACGTAATTGGTGCTCACGGGTGAGTTAACCAGCAAAAACACACATGTACACTCTCATTTTCTCTGTGAATTTTAATTTTGTGTAATAATTATAACGTGAAAGCGTTGCTTTAACGAAAATTCAGAGCGTGGAGAATTATAGAGTAAGTAATTTATTTTTAATAAAGCTGTATATCAACTCCGTGACTGTCAATTCAAAGCAAAATGTAAGCCATTTAAAAAACTGAAATTTTTTATTTTTAAATAATCAAAACTCATATATTTATTTTGAACAATCTGTACCATTTAACTGAAATATCTCTGCATATACTGTAGAATGTAGAATCTGTTAAAAATTTAGGATTGTGTATAGACGAAAGTTTTAAATTCTCAAACCATGTTACTCAGTTAGCTCGAAAATGTTATTTGAGTTTGAAACTTCTGTATTCCCAGAAGCATATATTGACATATAACATGAAAAAAACGTTATGTCAGAGTCTCGTACTCTCAAAGTTGCAATATTGCAGTATGGTATATTTTCCATGCCTCAGTTCAATTGATGCTTATAGACTACAGAGGATTCAGAACAACTGCTGTCGTCTGATACTAAATAAACGAAAGTATGATCACATTTCCTCAGCTTTTGAGACACTCAAATGGCTAAAGCTAAATAAATTATTTAAATTAAGAATATTGACCTCCGTTAAGAATATTGTAGATACTACACTTCCTTTTGATCTTTTCAGAAAATTAAATTTTAGAAATTCAATGCATGATTTAAATATAAGACACAAAAAAATGCTTACTATGCCAAATCACAAAACGGCCATGTTTCGGAAATCGTTTACTTACAATTCTGTATGTATTTTTAATAATTTAAGAAAAGATATTCGAACTTTGTTTTTTCTATGTTCATCATTTAAATTTAAATCAAGTCTGAAAAACTATTTATCGCTGGAACAACAGACCCCAAGCTTAGGATAATTATTGTGATATTTTTTGTTTGATTGTTTACTTTTTAAATTTTTTGTGTTTGTTAAAACGTATTGGTCCATACAATCGAGCCACATTTATTGCTCATTTTATTTTTATTTTTATCTGGACATTATTTTCGAATTTATGTTTCTTTTCTTATTATGCATATTATAAATGTATTGATTAGGTTAAGTATGAATGGCTCTGTGAGCTAGACTAGATGATTAATTATTAATAAAGACCATTTATTATTATTATTATTATATACTGTATGACAAAAAACTACACCTACATATACTTTAATATATAGTTGTTATACAGGGTGAGTCTTAAATAAGTGCAAATATTTTCAGGGCTGGTAGATCACGATAAAAGAAACATATTTTCTCTTTACCATTTTTCAGATAAGTCCAAAACAACCGAGTTATTTAAGTTTGAAAATTAAAAAAAAATGGACTTTTTTGAAAAAATTTTGAGAGCCACCGGATTTTTTCTCTATTTGCATTCCTTTTAGTGCCGTAACCATAGAGTACAGCCGTAACTATGGTTATATTAGAGATTAAGAAATTATACCGTGGGAAAATTTGCGGTAAACAGGCAGTTCTAAATAGTTTTCAAAAACGATACAGGGAAATTTAAAAGAAAATGCAGGATTTTCAACATCTTTTTTGCGAAAAAAAACTCATAGACCTGGGGTCGAAATATACCACCCCTGAAAATATTTGCACTTATTTAAGACTGAGCCTGTATAGTTTTCAATACTCACATGGTCTAAAGTCGATTAACTTCAGTGATCGATCAAGACTATGTAGAACAGGTAGAAACGGAGAATCAAACCACAAAAAAGTGTGTAATCTTACGGACTGCGCCAGTGAAGCTTTCGTCCGAACTATTATAAGATAGTAAAAGCAGGACTAAAGAAAACATTTTTTTATGAACACAATACTAACATTGATGCATACAAGTATATGCCTACGCTATGCAGAGTTATGGCACTGTAAAAAGAAGAATAATAACATTAAGTTGCTTACGTCAAAATACTTGCTTTAACTAACGTTGTAATATTGCGTTGTAACCAGATAAATAAATTATTTTAATAATCTCCCTGAATTGCAGTGACGGCAACGTGAGTTTTGACGAAGAGTGGACAGATTGTCCACAAGAAAACGCTATACAATTTTCAGTAGTTATATTACTTGAATGTATATATAGTATAAAGCAAATATTAAGTGTAACGTAAAAATCATGCACTCAAATTTATATTTATTTCTGCCTTTTTATATTGACGTTAGGGTGGGCACGTACCCCTCTGCACTTTAAAAGCAGCCACCACTGCTGAATTGACTAATTTTTAGTTAATTCTGTCTAGGGAATACCAAATGCGACCTTTTAAATTAATCCTATTGTTGATCTGAACCGGGACGGACTTTAGATAAGCTTGTTTATGTTGCAAATGGGTCTAGCTAATGTAACTGTGGATTGTTTATCCAATCGGCTTGCTAGGCTAACCTTTTTAGTTTTTCTTTTTCAGCGTTGAACACATCGAACATATAAATTTAATTAATGATTAAGTTTTTTACTCGTTTTTTCTGGGTTCCGTACCTCAAAAGGAAAAAACGAAACACTTATAGGGTCACTTTGTTTTCCATCCGTCTGTCTGTTTATCAAGACCTTTTATCTCAGGAACGCCTGGAAGCATAGAGTTGAAAATAAAACCATATACTCAGGTCTATAGTCCCCTGAAACTGTCAAAATATCAAACTTCTAAGTTAACTTAAAAAAAGATAGAGCCTTTGTAATCATATATAAGATTTATAGAGAATGTAATCTAGAGATAATAACGCTTTTGCCCCAACACCGTGCAACAAAAACGCGTCCTGTATATAAATTAAATTAAATAAAATTTTAAAAAGTTCAGCTTTCTTTTGTCTCGGTTTCATTTCTTTAAAGCGGGAGGCCTGAATGAAAGGTCTTTTTAATAAAGTCCGAACAAAAGAAGAAAAAAGACAAAATGGAGTTCATAAAAGCCGCGGTACGAGACCAGTCGAGTAAGGAAGAGCTTCTTAGAAGTTGGTGACGAGGATTAATTTCGTTTAATTAAGCCGAAAAAGGGGATATTTTCCAGAAATTTTATTGACAAAACTACAGCAGGCAGTAAAAGTTTTGACAAAGAACATATTGTTTCTTAATCGAGCACAAATTTATACCGTGTTTTAGAAAGAATGTTCTTTATAAATTCCTTTATTCTTAGATTAGGTTAGGTTGCTGGGGTTTAGGATCGTAATTGATCCCTCACTCGGAAGCCTTGGGCCTATGGCGGTAACCCTATATTATTGTACAAAACCTTCTTCGCATTCTTTCTTTGCGCTAAAGCTCTTCGCAAACTTCCCGATGTCGCTGATGTTGGCTTCTGCTGCTTCCTCTAGACCCAGTGCCGGACTGTGGTACAGTAGGTGTTCTATGGTTTCTTCTTCCCCTCAGCATTCTCTGCAATAGTCGTCGTTGGAGATCTTCCATCTCACGAGGTTTACCCCCGTGGAGCAATTTCCAATTATGACACCTACAATTATGCGTCCTAGGTTATTTTTGTGCTTTAGTAGTTATTTTGTCGTTTTGCTATCTCTATCACTGGCCACAGTCTTCGAGCTGTAGCGCAGTCCTCACGATGTTGCCACGTCTCTTGCTGCTTGGCCTTGATGGTAGTTCCTCTAGCTTCCTTCAGTGTGTTGATCGTCATAAGTGGTGGGTCATCTGCCACGGCCTCTAATCTGGCCCCCTCTTTTGGGGGAGTCTGTCTGCTGCTTGATTGCCCATCGCATTACTGTGGCCTGGCACCCAGCACAGAGTAGCCCCGCCTTGACGCAGCCAGGACAGTGCGTCTCAGCAGTCCATCACAGTTTTCGATCTCACTGATTGAATGGTGATGCTTCTGAAAACGCCCAAGCTGTCAGAGTATATCACGATATCTCCTATTGGTCTATCAGCGATTTTTTCTCGTAAATAACTGGCTGCTTCCTAATGATGTAAACCTCTATTTGTAGGACATTACAGCCATCCGATAGCCTTAAAGATCGTCGGATGTCCATATATAAGATAAGATGCTCATATCTGTGCCTCCTGAAGTTACAGAAGCATCTTGAGTGTTCATTACTCGGTTGCTTTCCCATTCTTCTCTTGTCGGGATACGAATATTTATCGAACAATCTTACCGAACATGATCGATTTTCTCCAAAATC